ACTACATAGTGAGTTCAAGGCCACCCTGAACTACATGGAGAGGCCCTGTCTCAGCAACAAAAACAAGGGTTGGGGATGTGGCTCAGTGGTAGAGCTCTTCCCTTACATACACAAGGCTCTGGGTTCGATCCCCAGTACCACAAAAATTAATAAACAAATAAACAAAAACAAAACAATAAATAGATAAATAAAACAAACAATAAGGGCTCAAGATGGTGGAGGTCAGAGCTGGGGCTACTATTGAAGTATGACTCATAGGGGACATGAAGGAGCCTCTAGCAAATGGGGTGTTGGGTTCCTGCTAGGGATCGTACCAGGCAAGAGCCCTGCTCTCATGTTCCATAATATTCTGTAATGTATATTCTAATGGGAAAGCTACATCTGAGACACATGCACTGATGAACGACTAAAGCTATTCCATTTGGCAATCACCGCCAGGAAGAAAATAGGCTGAGAGATGGGACAGAAGGTGATTGATTTAGTGAGAAGATCAAGGAGAACCTCCCTGAGGTGATAACTTATATAGTAAAAACAGAAATCAGAATGTTCTAGAACATTCTGGACCTTTCCAGAACATGGTGGAAAGGTCCAGAATGTTCCAGAACATTCCAGGTGGACATAATGTAGAAGGCCCTAGCCCACTGCCAGAAAGGGCTCAAGGGACAGAGATGAGGCCGCATTGGCTCTGGAAAAATGGGCCAGGCAGAATGAAAAGGAAGAGTGTTGACAAAGATGTATTGCGAGCAGCCTCCTCAGTGTGTGGGACGCAGCTGTGACCGAGACGCCTAGAGTGTCACATCTGGCAGAGGGACCATTTATTAAACCAATCATCACACAAGCAAAGAAGCAACCACTTAATTGTCAACATGATAAACGCTTCAGTTGGGGCACTGTGACTTAGAGGGCCCAAGGCTGAGCTGCGAGGTGACAGAGGTAGAGGAGAGCTGAAGCGAGGGCCCGGAGGGACACACAGGAAACCGCCACCAGGAGCAGCCCTTGTGGGGACCCTGAAGAGGGAAGGACCCCAGCAGGGACACGGGCAGCCCCAGGAGGGGGCTTGGTCTGAACCCCAGCCTTGCAGAAGCAAGTCTCCATTCCCATCCTCCCTGCGAGTTTCCAGAGTGTCCCTTGTGAGTTGTTTTTTTTTTTTTTTTTTCTCTTTTTGAGACGGGGTCTCCCTGTGCAGTTCAGGCTGGCCTTGAGCTCACTTTGTAGCCTAGGCTGGTCTCGAACTCGCAACAATCCTCCTGCCTCAGCCTCCCAAGTGCTGGGATTACAGGCGTGCGCCACTATGTGCCCGGCTCCCTTGTGTTTTTGATGGATGCTGGAGCCGTCTCACTCCCTCTCCTCCATAGCGGTTTCCGCCCCCAGCCAGATTGCTGTCCTCATCACCAGGAAACCAGGATGGCTTGTTGCCATGGCAACCCTGTGCTACTGGACACATGGGTGTGCCTGCTGGTTGCCATGACACCAGCCAGCCACCCACCACCACCAGCAGATCCGTGCAGGATGCGGGCAGAAGATGGAAGAGTGGGCAGAGGACAGAGGCCCTGGAGGTACTCCTGGGTGATGCCTCCAGGGTCTGCATATATGGGTGCCGAGGTCATGGAAGAGCCAGCCCAGCGTCTGCAGTGTGCCCAGGCTGGTGTGGAGGAGACATGCCAGGGAGACATAAAGGAGTGTCTGAGCCAGGTATGGTGAGGTTCGCCTGTCATCCTAGCACTTGGGAGGCTGAGGCAGGAGGACCTCCACAAGTGTGAGGGCAGCCTGGCTACATACCAAGACCCTGTCTCAAACAAAACAAAACAAAACAAAAGGGGCTGGGGATTTAGCTCATCCGCACAGCGCCTGCCTGGCAAGCACCGACGTCATGAGTTCAATTCCTGGTACCGGGAAAAAACAACAACAAAAAAAAACCAAGCAAACAAACAAACAAAACAAAAGAATTAATGCTCTAGACAGATGGTACAAAACAAACAAGTAAAACACATCCATGCAAGCCAGACTTGGTGGCACACTCCTGTAATCCCAGCACTCAGGAGGCTGAAGCAAGAAGATCACCGTGAGTTTGAGGGCTACACAGTGAGAACCTATGACATAGAAATCATACCCATGCAAGGGTGCTTATTCTTAAAGGAGGTGGCAGAGGTTCAAGAAAAAGCAATCAGTTATGCTTCTTTCAGTTCCAAGAAACTGAGCATAAACTGATCTAAGCCAAATATTAAGGGGCAAGGTGGATTTCAGGCACAGCTCACTCCAGGACTTCCAGCAATGGCCTGGAGACAGCTTCTCTCCATCTCTGTGGCAGGCACTGTCATAGTGGCCCTCAGAAGCTCCAGGTCTATATCCTCCCTGCTCAGCAGCTTCACTCACAGGACACATCCCCCTACCAGTCCCAGGTATATTTAAGGAAGCCTGGGCCAGCCTGAGCCAGCAGGGGCAGCCACCCTGAGGCCCCAGGCCAATGACCAAATGGCACCAGACTTCTCTTAGGAAAGTGGAAGCAGGGAAAGCCCTTCAGAAAGCAAGCAGGACCCAGACACAGGGATGCATACTTGCAGTTCCAGCTACTCAGGAGGCTGAGGCAGGAGGACTGTGAGTTTAAGCCCAGTCTGGGATCTTAGTGAGAGAAACCCTGTCTCAAAATAAAAAATAAAAAGGGCTCAGGGGTGGAGCACAGTGTGAAGCCCTGGATCCCATCCCCAGGATTACTCATTGATAGATAAATAGATCATTTTTTTTAAACAGAGGCCCACATTGAAACAAATCATTATGAACTAATTACGAATGTGGCAGTAGAGAAGATGGACAGAGATTTGGGCACCCAAGAGGCCTTGTGGCGTCATGAGAGGCTGGGCTGCTTCCACTGAAGCAGGGCCCTTTCAGGTGCGACCTCGGGAGAGACACATACGCGCAAAGGCCCTGGGGCTGGAAGGAGCCAGGCAGGCTTGCAGTTCAGGGACTGCAGCCTTGGGCTGGGTCACAGTGACAGGGCCTCCATGAAGTAGCTAGAGATGATGCTGGGGCTGGATGTCACGTGCCTCACCAGTACATTTGGATGTTTGAGCTCCTCTTAGCCACTGTAATCCCGGAAGTCATAGATGTCCGGATGAGATCTGCTTTACACCACATGGAACCAATGGGGGCGGGGGTGGGGAGAACAGGGAGCCTGGAGAGGAGGTGCAGAGACCTCAGTGGTAGCCATGGAAACAAAACCAGTGTGGGTGGGATGCTGCCTGGGGCCCAGGATGGGTCTCGTGGATGGCATCTGGTGCCGTGAGAATCAAGATGGGCACTTAGGTATCCAGAGCCACTGACACACAGGCCAAGGGCTGCGCAGGCAGACAGGGGAAGGGCAATGGTCCCCTTGGCACGGAGCTGGTCTCTTACACTTGGTGGTAGGCATGGGACTCAGGGCTGCTCTACCACTGAGCTATGCCTCAGCCCTTTCTGTTTTTTCTTCTGAGACACAGTCCCCCTAAATTGCCAGATTCGGCTTGGTTTGAGAGCCTCCTGCCTCAGCCTCCTGGCTAGCTAGAATAGCAGGCATGTACCACTGCATCTGGCAGTAGCCATTTAAATACCACAGACAGAACACACACACGAACGACCACGAAAGGAAAACAGCTGAATGTGCTGGTGGCTCATGCCTGTAATCCCAGCACCCAAGAGCCTGAGGCAGAAGGACTGAGAGTTTGAAGCCAGCCTGGGCTATACAGCAAGACCCCATCTCAAAAACCAAAAGATAAAATAACAAACAAAAGGTAAATGTATATACAGTCATCCTATCATCTTGGTGGAATCCAGCATCCCCCACAGACACCAAAACCAAGATGTACAAATCCTGGCCGGATGTGGTGGAACGTGCCCGGAATCCCAGCAGTCAGCAGGCTGAGACAGGACGAACACGGCGAGTTCGAGGCCAGACTGGGCTATAAAGTGGAGTTCAAGACCAGCCTGAACTGCATAGCAAAACCCTCTCTCAAAAAGACAAAAAAAAAAGCGCAAGTCCAGAAGATAGGAGCAGTGGCGCATAGCTGTGCTCCCAGCACTCGGGAAGCTGAGGCAGGAGGATTTAAATTTAAACCCAACCTGGGCTCCTCAGAGACTGTCATAAAATTCAAAAACAAAATCCAACAAGGGCTAGGGGCATGGCTCAGCAGTAGACTGCGCACCTCGCAAGCGAGGTTCTGGGTCCCACCCTGGCACCCCGGCCACAATCTGCGCTGCAGCCTCCCAGTACACCCCTCTGGCTGGGCTGGCTGGCGTCCTTCCTGTCACTCGCTGGCTGCAGCCCAGCGCCTAGGGAGGTTTGGAGCGAGGGGCTCCAGGCTGAGTGAGGGCCACTGGTGGTGCGGGGCCGAGGAAGCGAGCTCGAGGAGCCCGGGGCCGGGGCAGCCCTCCCGTCAGTCCCTCTGGCACCCTGCAGAAGGACCGCGGGCAGGAGAGGACAGGACAGAGCGTCCCTCCCAGCATCCCCAGGCCTGAGACCACAGCTGCACGTCCCTTGTCCTGCCCGTCTTTTCCCATCAGCTGCCCAAACTTTCTCCACACCTTTGAAAATAGCTCCTTTTGAAAGAAAAAGAAACAAACGGTGTATTAAATTGAGAAAAAAAGAAAACAGCTCCTTTAAACTGGGCACAGTGGCTGGGGATGTAGTTCAGCAGCACAGGCATGAGGTCATGGGTTCCATTCCTGGTACAAACTAAACTGGGCGGGGTGGCACACACCTGTAACCAAGCACTCTGGGAGGCTGAGACAGGTGGATCACAAGCTCCAGCCCAGCCAGGAAGGTGAACACGTGCCATTTTTCAGAGACATGCCCTCCACGGACACGTGACCTGGGAGGGGGCGTCCTTGCAGGAGGTCGGTGCCTTCTACCAACAGGGATTTCCAGGGGCTCCCACGGCAACATGAAGGGACTTGGTGGCCGTGAGTCATAGTCACTGCAGGCCGCTCCCGGGGCAGACAGAGCGTCAAACACAAGAGGCGCAGCCAGGATGTCCTTTATGTACAGGGTTTATTCCTCCCCAGCCTGGCCCCTCCTCCACCCGCCCGCCCACCCTGCTGGGGTCCCCAGGGCCCTGCTCCCCCAGAGGGGGCGGGCCTCCAGGGATGAGAGGGAAGCTGCAGAGGAAGCGGCTCCACCTTGCCTCAGCCCCTCAGACAGGGGACAGAGGAAGACGGAGGGCAACACAGAACAGGTCAGATACTCCAAAAGCCACAAGAGCAAAGACAAAAGTAGCGCAGCCCCAAGGAAGAGGGACAGGAAGAGCCCAAGCCAGACCCACCCCGGGACTGAGGAGTGCAAGATGGGATGGGGGGACAAGGAGGGTCAGGGCGGAGGGGCGCAAGGGTGGCCCCCAACCTTAGACTCGGGTGCAGGACAGGGAGGCCCCGGGGCGTTCCCTTGGCTGCGGAGCTACAGCTTGGTCAGGTCCAGCTTGAGCTTGTAGGGCGGGGGGCTGTCCTCGAAGGCGTGCGCCGGAGGCGGGTACAGGGGCCAGTCCGGGTCCACCATGAAGCCCTTGTGCTGCTCCAGGGTCAGTGGCTGTGGGGCTGGGGCGCTCAGTCCCAGCTCAGACAGGGCTCCCCCGCCCCGCCCCGCCCCCCCCCTGGTCCCAGCTACCTGGAATTTGAGGTGCTGGCCCGGCGCAGTCACCAGCGTGGAGCAGCTGAGCCACAGCATGACCAGCACGGAGAGGAAGAGGCAGCAGGCCAGGATCCAGCGGGGCAGCCCGGAGCGCCTGCGGCCCAGCCTTGGCTCAGCGCCCACGCCGGCCGGGGCAGGGGCAGCGGGAGCCCTCAGAGCCCTGCCCGCCCGCCCCCAGGGCCTGCCACCCACCGGGACATGCAGCTGAGGAAGTCATTGTCCTGCTGCTCCTCCGACTCCACCTTGGCCTTGCTGCTGGTCTTCACGCGGATCTTGGCTTTGCGCACCTTGTCCAAGGGGCCTACGGGATCTGAGGAAGGACAAGGCTCAGCAGCCTCCAGGGTTCTGCCCCGGGGCCACAGAAGCATGGAGCTACCACAGAGCGGGGAAAGGCCAGGACCTGGGGCAGTGGGCCATGGGGTTCAGGAATGGAGACTGGGGATGGAGCATGGGACCCTGGGAGGCGGGCCGTGGGACCCTGGGACATGGACCGTGGGACCCCGCAGTTGCAGACCCCCATCCTATGGGGCCCATCTGCCAGGAGGCCTCCAGTGACAGCGGGACCTTACCCACGTGCACCTCCAGGGCCTCAGGACGCGATCCCCTCCAGGTCACCTCCACTCGCTGCAGGCGACTCCCCTGGAAGCCCAGGCTCTCGACCACAGGCTGGGTCTAGACCAGAGCAGACAGCACAGCAGGGCTGTTGCAGGCGCCCTGGGCCCTGGCAGGCAGTGTCCCCTGCCAGCAGCTAGTTCTACTACAGGCGGGCAGGGGGGACACCGATGGTCCACGGGCTGTGACATCAGGGACGTCCTCTGCTCTCCTGGGGCCCTCTGTTTGCCTAGACCCCATCCTCCAGTTTCTGAAGAAGGAAGAGGAGCCAGGCTGAGCCAGCAGAATCACTGTGATTGGCTGAGGGATGGCCTAGGACCCAGCCAGGGCCAACTACAGCTCAGCAAAGACTGGCTGTATGGTCTACACCTGCAGTCTCAGCACTGAGGAGGCTAAGGCAGGAGGATTGCAAGTTCAAGCCCAGCTGGGGCAATTTAGGGACTTAAACAGACCCTGTCTCAAAACAAAAACTAAAAAGTGTTGGGGATGTAGCTCACTGCTAAGGCCCTGGGTTCCACCCCCAGTACCACACATAAATAACCACTCCAGAACCCAGAGGAGTTGTAATCTAGAGGCCCAGGACCCACTCTGTTGCCAGGAGGGAAAAGCACACCCAGAAATGAAGCTACTGCAGAGGAAAACAGGGTCGAGGGGCAGAGACAATGAGCTCCTGGATCCAGCTGAGCCTGAATCCTGCTCACCATGGACTCTGCGTCCCCCCTTCTTACCCTGGGGTGGCCCCCGGCAGCCTTCTCACCTGAAAAACCACCACCTTCCCATTGTCAGTCTGCAAGTAGTACGTCCAGGTGGAGGAGACAAAGCCCTGGGCCGAGTTGACGAGGTCGTTGCAGAGGGTGGAAAATAAGTCCAGGAGGGACAGGGCCCCACCAGGAGCTTCCAGGACCTTTCTCTGGTGAGCGGAGGCCCAAGGCACAAAAATGGTGACAAAGTAGAGCATTGTGAACGGAAGGGCCCCTGGCTGAGCTCGGATTTGGCTGAACGATTTGGTTCAGACCCACACCTCCACACGGCATGTGGCTTGCTGTGTGGCCCTGGGAAAATTCACTGCCCTCTCTGGGCCCTAGAACAGGGGTAGGTGATTGTCCTCCCTCACGAGGCAGCTGTAACATTTCCACAATGTTCTCCCAGCCCCTGGCGCGGCCCAGATTCCAAATGACCACCAGCCACAAGGACCACACACCTCTCCTCTGCACCAGGGCCACTGCAAAGGGAAGAGCTGACCAGTGACAGGACTGTGCTGCTCTGAAGGGGCAGCGCAGGAGTGAGGCAGGGAAAGGGCTTTCTGGGGAGCCCCAGACCACACGTCTCTGGCTGTGCTGCACACCTCCTTGCCTCAGTTTCCCCCAGATGCAGGTGAGCAATGGTCATTTCTGCCCCAGGCCCTGTGTGCTGGGGGGGGGAGCACCCTGAACGTCAGCTCTCCCCACCTCAGACGACCACGGCCACCTCCTCGTCACAGGGAAATCGCTTAGACCAGCGCCTGGCTAGTGGCGCTGAGGATCAGCTGAGGTGGAGGCAGCCACGAGGCCTGGCGGCCTCAAACTGGCCTCGCCACAGCCCTAACTGCATGACCGGGCCAGTTGTCCTCTGGGCCACCAGATGGTAGGGGCGACACGCCTGGCGTCTCCAGGCGGCAGGAGGAATCTGGGACAGGCTGAGGTCAGGGCGGGACGAGGGCGCGTGTTTGATAAGTGAAGGGTGATTGTGTTCACTGCCCTTTACTCCTAGACAGGGTGGGAAGCGGGGTGACAAGTGTGAGGGCCCGAGCCACAGGGGTCCTGGGCCTGGACGAGGCCACCCAGCCAGCCTGGAAGGAACGCAGAGGCTGGGGAGGGGCCCCTGGGTGGGGTGGCCCAGGACTTGGGTGCAGGACACCCACCTTTTCGAGCTGGGACTCCAGCTCCGGCTGGGGAGCCTGGATCCAGCAGCCCCCCCGGCAGGCTCGCCGCTCCGTGTCCTTCACGTAGGCTTCCACGCATGCTGCGGGGCAGCGGGGCGCGTGTGACCCAGGCGGGCCCTTCCCGGCCACCGCCCCCACCCTGGCACACCTGCGCGCCCGGGCCCTCACCTGCTTCGCACTCGGTCTGGGTGGCGTTCGGCCTGGAGCTCCTGGCCACGAAGCGGCAGATGGAGAAGAGCCGGCAGCCCCGCTCGCAGGCGCTGATCTGGACAGCCCTGTCGTATGGGGACTCTGAGGGGACCTCCTGCCCTGCCTTGGGGGGGGACATGGGGCTCAGCAGGGGGAGGTGAGGATCGGAAGCAATGGGAGGACGGGAGGGGAGAGAGGTTTGGCCCTTCAGTCTGGGGAGACTGGGGTGAGCTTGGAGAAAGCGGGAAATCCTCAGCACTGAGGAGGCAGGGGGACTTGGGAATAAATCCGCAGGGAGTCCAAGGTCGCCCTGCAGGGATCCTGGGAGGAGGGGCTTGGGAGAGATTCTCAGGCCTGAGGAAGGGGGGTTTGCCTCGGGAACTGGTTTGAGGGGCTAATGGCTGGGGGGCCTGGTAACTGCGTGGGGAAGAGGATGCAGAGGAGGAAGGTGGGCCCTGGGCACCCAGAGGTCCTTGCGCAGCACAGTGAAGGAGAGGGGGCAGGGAGGTGGCATCGAGAGCCTCAGCCCCCACCCCACCCCCGCTTAGAAGGACCCCCCCCACCGAGCTCCCAGGGTGGGATCTGCATGCCCAAATACCCCCACCTGGGGACCACAGCCTCGCCCGGGAGGGTCATCCTCGCCCCCCTGGGAGTGACCCTCGGCCCCTCCCCCGCCTCCTCCGGGGGACCTCGGTGTCGCGCAGTCACTGCGCCCCGCATCCACGCCCCTCCCCCACCAGGGGCTCCAGAGCCGTGCGCGTCACCTGCGAGGGCCGCGGTCCGAGGACGCGCTCGCGACAGCGCTGCTGGCAGTTCTGGGTGTCCCCGAGCTGGGGGGCGAAGGGGTCCCGGGCTGGCGGCGCGGGCGCGACGGGCGGGGACCCCAGCAGCAGTAGCAGCAACAGCAGCAGCGGCGGCGACACCGGCGACATCAGCGCGGCCGCAGCCATGGCCGGCGGTGCGGGACGCGGCTGCGGGGCGGCGCTGACGTCAGCGAGCGAGGCAGCCTGGGAAGGGGGGGCGGGGTGGGCTGCGGCACCTGGGGTGGGCGGGCAGGTGGATCCGGCCCCTAGCTGGTGCATGGTCGGGGGGTCCCCTGGCACCTTCCCCTGGGGCCGGGCATCGCCGCAGCGCTCGGAGCCAAAAGAGCACACTGGACGCCGGACCCACGGGTCAAGTGCGTCAGGAGGGCCAGGCGCGAGACCAGGGGACCGGGGTCCCAGCGAGGGACACGCCAGCCCCAGGGACGAAGGGCAGAGCGGAAGGAGGGGGAATGGGCGGGGAGGCTGACACCAGGCAGAGGGTGCAGGCGAAGAGTCCAGGGCGCCCGGGTCTCTCAGGCCTGGCACCTTCTCCCTTGGCACCCAGGCCAGGAGGCAGCAACCTGCACGGTCACCTCCTGCAGGAAGCCCGCGCCCCTACGCTGCCCGCGCTGCCCCCGGCGTGGCCTTCCTCCGCTCAGGCCGGACGCAGGAGCCGGGGAAGCAGGCCCTTGCCTCCCGCACTGGGACCCCTGGCCAGGGGGCTTTGGAAAGGACACAGAGGTGCCCACGGGGCTGTTAAAACTCCTCATTCTCGTGGGAAAAAAACCCGACACTTCTGGCTGCCCTCGGTACCACTCCCGTGGTGCCACCGTGGCTTGAAGACCTCGAATTAGCAACCCTCTGGCTCCTCCAAACAGGGACCTGGAGACGCCCCCAAGCCGCGGTCCTCTGGACAGATGTCCCAGGCCTGGCTGCATGGCCGGCGCAGGTGCTCGCGAAGGGCGCGTGTCCCCTCGACGCCCCGCCCCGGCAGACGGGCGACAGCCTCGCGGGTCGGCGGGTCAGAGGGCGCCGCAGGTTCCGGCCCGGGAGGAGGGGGTGGCGCCCCTTCCCCGCCGGCCCCTCGCTTTCATCTCGCGGCCCGGCAGCCCCCACGTGGCTTAATCAGGCGCGGCTGTGCCTGGCGGACCCCGAACATCTGGATCCCGGCGCGCCCCTCCCCCGCCCCGCCCCGCCCCGCCCGGGCCTCCCGCGCAGCCGGAACCCCGCGACCGGGCCGGCCCGGCCTTGGGAACCTCCCTGCAGGTTGTGATCCATATTGTCCCATATCACACGTGGGACCAGGCTTCCCGACTCCTGGGCAGAGCGAGTCAAGCCCACACATGCCAACCCGCGTCCTCAGCGCTTAACCTTTCCACAAGGACTGTCCCTCACGGATTGCAAACACTTCTCGCAACCACTCTGGGGGGACAAGTACTGGTAGCATCGCCCTCTTTCCAAATAAGGCAATCCGAGCCCAGCTTGGCCAAGGGGCGCGCCCAGGTGACTGGCGACAGGACGGAGGCCTGCGAAGGCACGGGAAGTGCGGCGGAGGGTGCACGAACGAGGAGGGGCATCCCGTACCCTATTGCAGGAGGGGAAACTGAGGCTGGAGGGCTGGGCCCCTGGCCCAGGGTGCCCGAGGGGAGAAGGACTGACGGCTGCCCCCCTTTTCCGCAGGCAGCGGAAGAGACCTCGACCCGGCCCCCAGGTGAGCCCGCGCCCGCCGTCCCCGGGGAGCCGGTCCAGGTGAGGGGCGGGCAGCCGGCGGGCGGCCGGGTCGGGTTTCAGGAAATCCGCCGACATTCCTCCGGGGCTTAAGAGGGAAAGTTGACTCGGCGCCGCCCCTCGCCCCCCCACTTCCTACCCCCCGGGGCGCCCGGCGGGGGCGGCAGGCGGGGGGCGCTGCGGCCGCCGGGCGTGAATCAGCGGCGGGCCGGGAGGTCAGGGCGGGCGGCAGACAAGCGCCCTTTGTCCCTGGCCGCCCTCCCCGCGACCCTGATGACCCCCATCCCCAAGCTGGGTCCAGGCTAGGGAGGAGGCTAGGCACGGTGGCGCCTGCGGCTTGCCGACGACCTCAGCGAGCGGAGGAGCGCAGAAAAGAGGGGTGCAGCTCTCCTCCAGACTTCGAGTTTCTTTGGGATGCAGAGGGGCAGGGAACCCAGGCATCCACTGCGGGGTGCACACACCAGCCCCAAACAGAACTTGGTGCCACTTTGGGATGTCCCAGGGCCTCCTCCAGTGCATGGCATCCAAGCACCCTGAGCTTGAGACCCAAGCATCAGGCGGCTCAGGCTTAGCCTCTGGGGGTGCAGATTCTAAGCCCAGGGCACACACAGCCCCACCACTAGCCCACCGGGCCTCACCTGCAGACAACTAAGGCGAAGGTTGTACAGCCAAGCAGCTCTTTCCAAATTGGGGGGTGCTCTTAGCCAAAGTGGCTTGGGGCTCCTAAGGGACCCCCAGGTGCTGCTCCCACTGAACCACTTGTGCCTTCTTGGGGACTGGGGCTGCAGGGCCCCCCACTTCTCACCCACAGATGACCTGTGGGTTGTGGAAGAGCCCCCAACCCCGTCACCACATTCCCAGCCGCCCTTAAGGGCTTCAGTCAATATTGACCAGGGGCTCCTCTCCTAGCAGAGATGGCGGGGCTGGGGAGAAGGGGTTAATGAAGATGCTGGGGGCCAAGGGCAGGGAAAGGTGCACTGGAGGTCAATTTATTTTCCCTAAAGTCAAACGGATGGGGCAAAGGTCACCCAGAGGCCAGAGGTCATGCTCAGGGGCAGGACTGGGAAATGGTCCGACCTCTCTCCCGAGGAGGACCAGAGCAGGGTGTCTGCACAGCAAGGCAGGGGGTGTGCCTAGTCTGGGACCCCAGGCTTGCTGAGACTTTTCTTGCTGCTTGGAGAGACTAAGGATTCTCCATCATCTTCTCATTGTGCAAATATTTATTGAGCTCCTCCTCTTTGGTGCTCACTGGACCCAGCGCAGGCTCCTGAGGGGCTCAGGGTACTCAGATCCGAAGGAAGGAAGGCTCAGCAGAGGGAAAGCCGTGGTTTGCAGATCTAGGTTACAAAGACAATACAAGAAAACTGAGGTGCAGTGCGCAGCAAGGGTGGGGCCTTTTGGAGGACCTGGGCCCCCAAGAGAAGTGGCTATGTGGGAAGGGTTGGGGAGCAGCACCTCAGCCCCAGGAAGAGCCACGGAGAAAGGGCCTGTGCTGGTGAGGGGCCTGCAGCACTGGGGAGCCTGAGCTGAGCGCAGGAAGGAAGGCGAGGACCAGGGAGAAGGTGGCAGAGAAGCCGGCTGGGCTGATTTAAAAGCTCCCTCTGCCTGCCCGCCCAGAAGTCCCACCAGAGGCTGGGCTGCAGCACCCAGAGGGACGGTGAGGGCCTGGACTAGGCGAGGTGGGGAGAGGGGGTCAGAGTCTCCAAACGGAGATGTGTTTTGGAATCAGAGCCAACAGGATCTGCTGATGGATTGGACGTGTGGGAAGAGCGCGAGAGAGCCCTCACACACGCTTCCAGGTCTCCAGACTGAGCACCTGGCTGGCTGGGGGAGGGGCAGGGCAGGGAGGGGGAAATGAAGGATTTCAGCTCCAGAAGCCTGGAGTCCCCCCAGGAGGGGGCCAGACCCCCCTGGGGCGCATGTGCAAGCCAAGGGCCGTGGGGGAGGGGCGGGAAGGGGAGGACCCTCAATTCAGCCCAGCCCTGCTGCCTCCACTCAGCCCTGGCACCACCTGGCAGGTAGGACCACGACACTATTTGCAGAGGGACAGATGGGGGTGGGCCACCCCTGCCCCTGGAGAGGTGCCAGGCCGTGCCAAGGGCTTTGATTCGGGAGACTTCTGTCACGCTCTGTCGTCCGGAGGAAACCTTTAGGGGCCTGGCCTTGTGCAGAGAGAGACGCTCAGCAAAGAGGCCTGGGTTGTCCCAGCAGAGGCAGAGCCCGCTTGCCTTTCCCTCCCCCTCCGGGCCATCCAGGGTCCAGATGGGGGTGCCCCGCGTCAAGTACCCATCTGTTGGTCTTCTTTGACATTCGGGAGCCTGGGCTGGGGATTCAAGAAGGGGCAGCCTTAGACAAAGTGGGGACCCCTAAGCCCTCCTGAGACCCTTTGACGCTCTCGGCTGGCTGGGGACATGGAGGAAGGGTCCAGGGCTCTCAGGGAAGGGCCAGTTAAGAGCCTTTACTGTCTCCGGGGGTTTGGGGAGGCTACCACCCAACCTGGGAAGCGGGAACCCCCGGAACTCACATTTCAGACACCCCCTTCCGTGGCCTCGGATACCCAAACCCCGTTTTTCCTAGGGCTTCCCTTTCCGATTGGGTGGGGACGACGAGAAGAGGGATAAGACGCCCGGCCGGGAGGGGTCCCGAAACCCGAGCAGCGGCCAAAAATAATAACAAGGAGAAAGATCTGTGCGCAAAAGAAGGAAGATAAACTATGCGTCGCTCCGGGCGGCCGCGTTACCTGGAGCGGGCGGGCGGCGGCCGCCGGAGCGATTACTCACCGCGTGGCGCACCCCACCCGCGGGCCGCTGAGTGGATTTTTCCGTGGGGGGGAGAATGCGTCCAAGGAGCAGTCCTCGCCACTCTCCTTCTGGGGATTCCCTGCTACCCCCAGTGCGCCTGGCCCCGGGGCCCACAGTCCCCATGTGTCCACGCGGGACCTGCATCTCAGGCTCCGGGTCACCCCCGGGCCAGTTTGTGCGAAGGGGACAGCGCGCCGGGGCTCCGCGCCTTCCTGCTTTTTCTCCTTTCCTCTGGCAAAGCCCCGGGCCCGGGAGGCTTCACGCGGGGGATAGGGGAGAGGAGGGATGAAGGGGAAGGAAGGGCCAGGCCGGTGGGACCCGGCGCGAGGACCCGGCCGGGGGGCGACTTCCCGGCCCCGGGGGAGGTAGAGGGACTGGGGGAGGGCGGGGCTCCGGACCGCTCCGTGGGGGGCGGGGCCGAGCGGGGTGGGGGCCCAGAAGCAAGATTGGAGGGAGGGTCGGGAGGAGCAGGGCAGGGCCGGGGACCGCTGGGGGCCCCGAAGGGACGCTGGGCTGGGCCAGGGGTGCCGAGTATAGGCATAGGCATTGGGAGGGAACTGGGGGACCGGGGCCCCCATTGGGGGTGGAGAGGCTGGCCCTGGAGGGGCTGGGAAGGGAAGTCCTGGGCCATGGGGAAGGAGAAGGGGCCCTGGGCGCGGGACTGGGCGCACGGC